GCTTTTTTCTTTTTGCTTATGTGGTGCTGAGGAATCGAACCCAGGGCCTCAGGCATGCAAGGCAAGTGCTCTACCACTGAGCCACCTTCCCAGCCCCCAGCCTAGGAGTTTAACACTAGCCTGGGCAACATAGTAAACATGGAAAGACTACTGTCCTTTATGTTTTATAAATTATGTGGTTGGGTTTCCTTCAGCTCTCTCTTCTAAGACCTGTAAGGCATCTTCCTCATACCCTGTCATAGTGGGCATCTTTGCAAACAGACTTGGAAGTTGAGAGAGAAGAATTTACTCTAGGGGAAGCACACATTACATAAAAGCAGCAGTGTTTGTGCTGAAAAACCAAACACACAATTGGTTGGCCAAGTTTCAAAAGTACTGTTCAGGAAGGTGTAGAACATAATAGATCAGAACTACCCATGTTCCTTCTAAGCTATCAAACTCAGTGTCAGACAGCATTACAGCAATTCGCTACATATTTGCACTTACTGCCTCAAATCTAGTGTGTGCTAGAAACACAACCCACATGCCTATTATCCCAGTCCTCAGGGACTGAGGCAAGAAGATAGAAAGTTCCAAATCAGCCTGGCATATATAGCAAGACCTTATCTCAACACAACAAAAAAAGAAGCTTGTAGGGGAAAAGGGACAGGAAGTGTGATAGGGGATGAAACTGATTGAACAGTATAAACATGTAACAATGAAATCCCCCTCCCCCCCCACAAAACTCATAACTAATATAAGCCATTTAAAAAACAGCAACATGGATATGGCCTATAATTCCTGGACTTGGGAGGTAGAGACAGGAGGACCTTGAGTTCAAAGCCAACCTGAACTCTATAGCAAAACCTTGTCTTAAAAACAAGATCCAGCTGGATCTGGTAGCTCATGACTGTAATTCTAGCTAATCAGAAGGCTGAGATCTGAGGATTAAGGTTCAGTGCTGGTCCTGACAGACCAATCTGGGAGACTTTTTCTATCCAATTAACCATAAAAAGTCAGAAGTTGGAAGTGTGGCTCAAGTAGTTGAATACCAGCCTTGAGGAAAAAAGTTAAGGGACAGGATTTAGGCCCTGAGTTCGGGCTCTAGTCTCAGCATAAAAACAAAATAAAAACATGATTCATAGGTGCAATATTTGATAGACCAATAATTTGGGCACTTCAACAAAAGGCTATATACCACAAGAGTGACACAAGTTAAGGTAGAGTTCCAGTAAATACAAAATTCCTCCCTCTAGCAGGACACCAGTGGCTTATGCCTATAAATCAGGAGGCTGTGATTTGAGGATCAAGATCAGAAAAGTCCATGAAACTCTTATCTCCAATTAACCACCAAAAAGCCAGAAGCAGAGCTGTGGTTCAAGTGGTAGAGCAACAGCCTTGAGTGAAAATGCTAAGAGACAGGGCCCAGGCACTGAGTTCAAGCCCTATGTACCAGCACAGGGAATAAGGGGGTGGGGCACGCTAAGTAGACTACAGGTAGGACAGGACAATGTGAGCAGCAGACTCTCGGTGGTACCCGGCTACTGACACCCTTCCAGCCCTGAGCTCATGCCTGTCATGTGGGAGAGAGATCAGGGCCTGGAAACTAAGGGTGAGAACTTGAACAAATTGCTGTCTTGTTCCCATATCTGCAAAGCAAGAAGTCTGGACTATGTGCCAAGTCTTCCACTCTGCATAAACACACATGACCTCAACTTATCCTGCCAGAACATACAATGAGAACAAATGCTTCTGTAGAGTCCTGATAATTCCTGTGTGTTCAATTTTTGCAAGATCAGCCCTGCTATCCCTCTGCCAATCTCTCTGAGTACTGCTACTTCATCCTTAACCCATGACATACAAAATGCCCCAATGTCAAATCTTTTTTCCCCCGCTTTTCTTTTTCTGGTGCTAATATTGAGGCTTGAACTAAGGGCTTTATGTTCTTGCTTGGCATTTTTGCTCAAGACTAGTTCTCGACCACTTGAGCCACAGCTCCTCTTCTGGCTTTCTGGTGGTTAACTGGAGATAAGAATCTCAAGGACTTTCCTGTTCGTGTTAGCCTCAAGCCATGATCCTTATGGCTCACCCTCCTGAGGAGCTAGGATTATAAGTGTAAGCCACTGGTTTCAGCTTTCAAGACATTTTTTAATTGTGACTTATCAGGGAGTGACTGGCTGATCTCCAGACTTTACTACACTCAAAGGCCACCCACAGGGGGATTTCATAACAAATCAAACACCTAAGCATTTTTGTGATAGGCAAATTGAAGTAATATCCTAGGGCAATAGCAACAAAGACATCAACTAAACATCAGCACACCAGGAGGAATCAGTCACAGCACAGAAGTGTTACCTTCTCTTCATCTAGATGGATTCCACTGATTTCAAAATCAAACATAAACAGTTCTGCCACTCTCCTGGAATAAAATAAGTCTCAGGTTACAATGGGTTTAAAAAAAAAGTCTTTAAGTTCTCATTATTAAAAATTTATTGCTGAGAGTTGCTTCAATACATACACACATACACATACACACATACACACACACACACACAATCTGTTTTGAACAAGGAGCTTTATATCTCAGAAGTCAGGGAACACACCTCAGACTGACAATTACAACTTGCTTGTCATGTAAAAGCCTATTCTTTCATTCACAGAGCAAACTTGTGAAAGTGCACCATTGTAATTACACAAGTATTTCAACTCCATCCAAATGCCAATAATTAAAAACATAAAAGTTTACACTTGGATGGCTTTTCAAAGGCCCCTGCCATGAGATTTTCAGGTTTTCTCCTCCAATTCCTTGATGCTGGGCTAGAAGATGAGTCTCTTGGCTATGGGGAATTAGTTTCTTGCTTTTTAATCTTGGCAGCAATTTCAAATCTAACACTTTCTTTGTCAACAATGTAATTTTTTTTAATTATTTTGTTTCTGGTTGTAGGTTAACCAAATATTTGATATCCTGGTCTGGCTTTGACTTTTCAAAATGGATATATTTATCTTCCCGATAATGTTGTCAAAGCTATCACTCTTCTTTCTTTTTGTTTATTTTGTTTTTAAACAAGGGCTGGTTTTACAGCCCAGGCCGGCCTCCCATTGTCCATCCTTTCACTCTGCCTCCCAAGCGCTGCGTTCACAGGTGTGTTCCACCACTTCCATCTTTCATCCCCAAAGAGATTTTTGATGAAGAGAAATAGAAGTTCTTCTAAACTGCTTTTGTTTATCCCTTATGGTGCTAGGATGGAAGCCAGGGCCTTGCCGTGGTAGGTAAGTGCTCTACTAGTGAGTTAAATTCCTGAAATTCAATAGACCACATTAGTAGGGTCATTCATATTCTTTCTGAAATAATGTAAAGTGTTTCATTCAAGCCCCAAAACTGGCCTCATTGCCTCTACCTCACATTCATTTCCTTCCTAAACAGCAGAGTATTCTCTTCTCAGGTAAAGGTATTTTCTCTTTTTTCTATTAAGAGAAAATATAAACTGGGGGAGGGGGGAGAGGAGGGTGGTGCTTTACCACATAGGTTTATCATAGTATTCCACGTAAGTGTAACAGAATGTTTACTAAAGAAGTGTACAGACCCAGGTATGGTAGGTAGTGTGCATCTGAATCTTAGTGTTTGGGAGATAGAGGAAGGAGGATTGAGAGTTTGAGGCCAGCTTGGGCTATACAATGAAACCCTGTGCAAAGAGTGAAGAGGGGAAGAGAGGGGGAGGAAAAGGTGGAAGAAGAGGAGGAATGGAGAGAGAAAGGGAGGGAACTAAAGAGAGAGGGGGAGAAAGGGGAAGGAAAAATAAATGTAAAAAACTAAAATCATTAATCCCACCAATGATAACCTCTATTTAAAATTCTGTATTTCCCTCTAACAAACTTTCTATGTTATATTACTATTTAGAATCACCAATTAATTATACTTTTGTATTTAGCTTTTAAAAATAAAATAACATCACAAACGCTTATCATTAAATACTGTTCAGAAATACAACTTTTAGGGGCTGGGAAGGTGGCTCAGTGGTAGAGTGCTTGCCTTGCATGC